TTGACGGGTAGAATCTGGTAGTTCAGGGAACCATGTCTAGGGGTGGCAATTGGGCGGGTTGGACTGGATTTGGTTTGGGTTGAGTTTCAATCCAATCCATCTAACCCGCCAACCCATTAATAACCCAGTTATATAAAATTAAATAGATTAGGTTCAATCCAAACCTGCTTTAATCCAATCTAAACCGTTCAAACCCATTAATCTTATATTTATGGACTTAAAAAACAAATTCTCTCTTTCATAACAAATAAGTTGGTTGTAGCTTGGTGGTTATTGTAGTTATCATTTACATAAGTGGTGAAGGTTCAAATCACATTACATGCATATTATTTTTACACAATCGGCGAAGCCATTTGACTATGTTCGGATTCCGGGTTTGACCGAACCACAAACCGGTCAGACCAACTTAAACCACTTAGGTTCAAGGGTGGTTGAACCGTTTAGATCTGGATCAGTCCGATCGGACCAGACCGGACCGGTTTAGTCAATGGTGGATTGACTTGGACCAGACCATATCAGGTTTGTGCACGGGCTCGGGACCGGACCGGCTAAGACGAACCAGGTCAATGTAACTAATTCGGATCGGCTCGGATTCGAGTTAGGTTGTGTGGGTATTGGTAGGGCGGACGGTCCAGATCGAGCAAAGCATACAAAGGCCGAACCATCCAGCCCAAATCGTTCGGAATCAGGTCGACCCGGATAGACTTGTACTGGGTCGGATAAGACTGAATATTGGTTGTACCGGACGACCCAAATCGGACAGAGCAAGCGGCACCGAACCATCCCGCTTGGGGTCTATTTCGGATTCGGGTCGACCCAAATCAGTATATGTTGGATTTATGTTGGGTGAAATGTATTGATTCAAGATAAAACTAAATTTAGTCAATAATTAATAGAAAATTAATACATTAATTATAAATTATTCAAATCAAATAAATAAAATTAAAAAAAGGCTAAGGAATTAATACTTATGTCTATAATGGTTAATCCAATGGTTACCCACAACCCAATCTAACCCAACCCATTTAAATGGATGAATTGATCACACAACCCGCCAAGTAAATGGGTGGATTGGGTTAAAAATTGTCACCCCTAGCTATGTCATCACAAACACTGCTCCCTTCTAAAAGAGCTAAAGTTTTCTCTGAACACCAGTGTCCCCCACAACAGGGGTGGATAAAAATAAATGTGGATGCAGGTTTTAAAGGTGCAAGTTTGGTGAGTTTTGGAATTGTGGGTTGAGATGTTTTGGGTGGTTGTGTAGCTGGAAATTGTGGTCCTTTGAAGGCTGATTCTGTTTTGCAGGCAGAGGCTCTAGCCTGTTTTAAGGGTCTCTCCTCTTGGCAAAGGAACTTAATTTCAGTCAGGTTATTTTGGAAAGTGTCAACTTGTGCGTAGTAAACTAGCTTTCCAACAAAGAGGCAAGTCCTGTAGTAGAAGCTAGCTGGGTGATTCTAGACTGTTTTCACTTGGCATCAGATTTTACAGTAAAGTTTGCTCATGTTGGAAGAAAAGCAAATGCTGTTGCGCATACCGAGTCTGAGTGGGGTTAATTGTAATCGTCAATTTCACGTACATTCATTTGCTTTGATATGCAAGATGTTGAAAATAACACCCTATGCGGCAATCAATTATGCTCTCACCGTTCTTCCTTTTAACTATTTCCCACTAACATCCAATGCATTATTACATGCAAGGTGTATAGGTACAACCAATCACGTCTAACTAGCAACCAGTCAGGTTTCCGAGCATCTTTTAACCAATATTCATGGATACAATTCGTACCAGTCATTAATTAATAGATAAATTTATCGAAATCATACAATTCACTCGTGACTCCATCCAATGTGTGTATCCATGAATCCATGTCGGAGGATTAAGCGGAAGTTGGATTTATGAAAAATTCTAATCGAGAATCCGATTATGCGAGTGCCGTCCGCTGCTTCCTTCCATGGATTATAGCCAGGTTGGGACGAATGGGTCAACTAAACCCCTTTACTCTCTCGATATTTTCTCCGAAGCGTGGAGATGAATCCATGCTAAAAAAAATCAGATTAAGTAAAAAGGAAATTGTATGTATGTAAACTTTTGCACTATTAATCTAATTTTGTGAGTGTCCACGTATCATGTTGTGGGGTTAGTGACAAATGGGTCATGTAAAGCCACCTTACCATCTTGATATCTTTTCTAAAGCATTGGAGGTGAATCCATGTTAAAGGAATCAGATAATGTGGAAATGGGAAGTTGAGGTACGCCAAATTTTGCAATGCTAATCTAATTTGTGAACACATATCCCACCGTAGGGTTGTGATGAACGGGTCAAGTAAACACCCTTACCATCTTAATATCCAAGGTTCAAAAAATTGATACAATATGCCCTGTATTGGGCATATTATATTGTATCTTTTGGGTCCGGATACGCCTGCTTACAGGTGTTTCGGGACCCCACTTTTTTTTAATGATAAATATGGGTATTAAACTACCCAAAAACCACAATTTGAAGCGTATCGATACTTTGAACCATGCTAATATCCTCTCAGAAGCATTGGAAGTAAATCCATACTAGAGGAATGAGATTAACTGGAAAAGGGAACTGCATGTATGTAAACTTTTGCACCACTAATATGACTTTGTGAGCATTGTTCGTCGCCGTCCTTGTGTATCCCGCTGTGAAGTTGTGGCGAATGGGCCAAGTAAAGCCCTTTTACCATCCTGATATCCTCTCGAAATCATTGGAGGCGAATTCATTCAAAGGAATCAGATTAAATGCAAAGGGGAATTGGAGGTATGCCAAAATTTGCACCGCTAATCTGATTTTGTGAGCGACATTCGCCGTCGTTCACGTATATCCCGTTGTGGGGTTATGATGAATGGGTCAAGTAACCCCCTCACCATTCTAACATCTTTTTAGAAGCATTAGAAGTGAATTCATGCTAGAGAAATCAAAATAAATGGAAAAGGGGAACTCGATGTATGTAAACTTTTGCACCACTAATATGATTTTGTTAAGATCCTTCGTCGCCCTCCATGCGTATCGCTCTGCAAGATTCTGAACAACGGGTCAAATAAACACTCCTTACCCTCCCGATATCTTCTCGAATGCATTGGAGGTGAATCAATGACAAAGGAATTAGATTAAATGCAAATGGGAGTTGGTTGTACGTCAAATTTTGCACCATTAATTAGATTTTGTAAGTGTTGTCAACCACTATCTATGCGTG